TTTTTCCTGAGTGGAATTAAAGGCACCTTTACTCTTTTTATTTTTTTCCACTAATAGAAGCATCTTGGAGGGTTCCTTCCATTCCGCGAGCGGCGAGTGCATCCTGGTATTCTTCTTCTCCCCTCATGCTGACGACAGGAAAATTCAACTCAACTTTGCTTCACGCGCAGTTGAAACCGTGTCCACAAGAAAACAACCCCCAGTAGTACCCTCTCCCTAGTCATCACTTTCCATTTCCCCACAGTTTGCCTTGACTTAGCCTTCCATTTTTCCATATATGCAAACCTGAAAGCGGTCTCTCGCGCCGCCCCAGAAACGGCAAGATCTCACCTCCGATCTTGATCCTTTATTTCTAGGATCAGACAGAAAGAAATCGTCTCATCTCTCTCGTTTCCGTTGATTCTCCTCAGGTATTCAAGTTTATATATCCATTTCTGGGTACCCCAAAAAAGCTCCCTTTTTTTATTTTTTCTGGGGATTTTTTGGTTTCTTATCTTCCGGATCTATTTGGTATCTTCCCCTGAGATTTTGTTTTAGTTATTAATTAAAGTATGACATCGAAAGTTTTCCCATTTTGATCTTTTCTTGTTCCTCAAGACAGTATCTTCTCTAATTTGTTGACTTCTGGTGTTCTTAAACCCTAATTCATTTATCTCTGTTTTTCGATCATTCGTTTTCCCAAAATTCTGTGTTGGAGAATTCTTAGTTTGTCTGCGTGAGAAATCATGGGTAGTGGGTGTAGCAAGAGGAAAGGTACTGATGCAGCAGGACCGGTTCAACTCAAAATTAATGCACCAGAACGGATGCCACAAGTTAGTGCTGATGATTCCAAGGTTGCGGATGATTTGAGCTCATATGAGGCGGCTTGTCGGGATGATCCAGATTTGAAAACGTTTGACCGCTTGATACAGGATCGGACAAGCCGAGCCCTCAACTCACTGGCTACTGGTGCTGAGGTTCAAACCTTGTCATTTGACTCACTGAAAGAGGTTAGTGGGTTTGTTTTTGCGATGAACCTGGATGTTGTCGAAGTCATTCTAGCGTCGAAGGAAGATATATGGAAAAGTAAAGAATTGTCGACTTTGGTGAAGGAATACTTAGAGAACAGCATAAAGACGTTAGAGTTTTGTGGTGGCCTTGAGAATTGCTTGAAACGTGCTCGAACGAACCAATTGATTATTCAGCTTGCAGTTCAGAAGTTTGAGGAAGAAGTGAAGGTACAGGGTGAGGGTGAGGGTGATGAAAGGAAATTTGGGAAGACATTGGATGAATTAAACAAATTTAAAGCAGCGGAGAAGCCATTTGATGAGGAATTCTTTAGACAGTTTCGGTCTGTGTATGACCAGCAGCTCTCGTTGTTCAAGAAATTGCAACAGCAGAAGAGGAAGGTGGATAAGAAATTGAAAAAGGCGAAAACATGGAGGAAGCTGTCTAATATGTTGTTTGTTACTGTGCTTGTGTCTGTAGTGGTTTTCTCCGTGGTTGCTGCTGCCATTGCAGCACCACCTGTAGTAACAGCTGTAGCTGGCGCCTTGATAGTTCCTGTTGGTGGAGTGGGAAAATGGTGTAGTTCGCTTTGGACTCGTTATGAGAACAAATTGAAAGGGCAGCAGGAGTTGATTGGTTCAATGGAGTTTGGTACTTACTACTTTACAATTAAGGACATGGAGACTATAGGGGTGCTTGTAGGAAGAATGGAAACTAAGATCGAGTCACTTTTGTATGGTGCTGATTTTGCAGTTAGAGAACAAGAGGCAGTGAAGCTTGTTATTGATGAGATGAAAAAGAAATTGGAAGAGTTCATGGAAACCATTGAGGACTTGGGAAAACAAGCTGATAAGTGTAGCAGGGAAATAAGGAAGGCAAGAACAGTGATTTTGCAAAAGATTATTGGACCTTCTTCCCAATCATCAACTTTAGATTCCCTTTGGAACCGATTAAATTTGTAATATTGGATATGTAATGTCAATAAGAAATGCCAACCCTACACCTTGTTGGGTTTGACCCTCTCTATACTCTAAAAACAATTGAATTGTTGAGCTGATCCTTCATTGTTCTCTGATTATTAATGTAATAAAGGAGAATAATTCTGAAGATTGTACCTCTATTTTTTGATATTTAAAGAAATTAAAGGTAGAATTTTTGGGTATGAATGTTTGTTTCTGATATAGACTTGTAAATGTATATCCTCTCTAAGCCACAACAAGATACAGAATTAGCTCAATGAAAATGCAGCAAAACCTCACATAGCTCAAACACCTGACAGCCTGAAATCCTTTCCAGTCCCTGACTCCCTGCTTAGCTATAGACTTCAAACATACACAATAAGAGTATAAGACCCCGGCAAGATCAAATTAAAAGTTGTTAAGCCTTCCCAAAAGTGACAAAGCAACCAATGACACTGTAAATCAGGCCTCAACCAAATTAAAGGACAGTACAAAATGAACACAAACAAACAAGAATCACCATCAGTCTTCACACACAGAACTTAACAGACAAAAGCTTTGGAGGAGAACTTGGACAGCAGAAGAACAAACGTGTTAGAAAGCTGCAGCAAAAGATCATAACAGCATCCATTCAAACAACCAAAGTGCTTCCTAAAACAGTAACAGGTGTCCTACTTGGCCAACTCCTTAACACATACCAAGTCTGGAGGCACCAATCATGAATGCAAACAAAGCTTTGTTAATGTTGTCCTTACCCTTGATCCAATTAAAGGACCTAAGTTGGATTAGCTAAAAATTTCTCATCTCCTGCTATTCAATAGTCAATACCATTGTAAATGAATCTATTTCTAGCAAGCCAAATACACCAAGAGGTTATTAATTCAGAAACAGAAAAATCTATCAACTAAGTCATTTTAATAAATTTTTATTTAAAAAAATTAAAATAACTTACTTTTTAAAACACAAATGATACTATTTTTATAATCCTTTTCATGATGCTTGAATAAAACGAGTCTAAGTGCCATACACTAATCTCATTAAGTAGATCATAGAAATATGATTCAATAGACAAAATGCTATTGACCGCGTGATTCATGCTCGGACCAGCCGGGCCCTCAACTCACTGCCCACTGGTGTTGAGGTTCAAAATCAAGTGTTGTCACTTCCCGAGGTTGTTGGATTATATCTTAAAATGAACCTGCAGGATGTTGTCAAAGTCATTCTAGACTCCGAGGAGGATATATGTAAAAATAAAGAATTGTCATCTTTGGTGAAGGAATACTTACAGAACGGCATACAGACATTAGAGATTTATGATGCCCTTGAGAATTGCTTGAAACGTGCTCGAAAGAACCAACAGATTGTTCAGCTTGCAGTTCAAAAGTTTGAGGAAGAAGAACTGGATGGTGGAGAAGAAAGGAAATTCGAGAAGACATTGGACAAACTAAACAAATTTAAAGCAGCTGAGAAGCCATTTGATGTAGAATTCTTTCAACGGTTTTTGTCTGTGCGTGACCAGCAGGTCTCGTTGTTAAAGAAATTGTTACAGCAAAAGGAGGAGGTGGTGGATAAGAATTTGAAATCAGCGAAAACATGGAGGAAGGTGTCTAATATCTTGTTTGTTACCCTGTTTGTCTCTACAGTGGTTTTCTCGGTGGTAGCTGCTGCCATTGCATCATCACCTGTAGTAACATCTGCAGCAAGTAGGTACCTTGGTAGTTCCTGTTGCTTCACTCGGAAAATGGTGTAGCTGGCTTTTGAATCGTTATGAGAATAAATTGGAATGGCAGAAGGAGTTGCTTACAATGGAGAGTTTTACTGGTGACCTTACAATTAATGGCATAGAGAATATAAGGGTACTTGTTATCAAAATGGAAACCAAGATCGAGTCACTTTTGGATAATGCTAATTTTGCACTTGGAGAACAAGAGGCAGTGAAGCTTGTTATCGATGAGATAAAAATGAAATTGGAAGAGTTCATGAAAACCATTGAGGACTTGCGAAAAGAAGCAGCAAAGTGCAGCCAGGCAATAGAGAAGGCAACATTATTGATTTTGCAGAAGATAAATGAAGCTTTTTCCCAATCAGCAGCTGTAGATTCCCCTTGGAACCAATTCTATCTTTGAAGCTGCATGTGTAATGTGAGTAATGTCAATTAGTGTTGGGTTTGACCCTTTCTAACTCTAGAAACAATTGACTTGTTGAGTTGGTCTTTTCTTGTTCTCTTATTATTAATCTAATCGGTCTCAGCAATCAGCCCCTTTCTTTATCAGCTATGATTTCCCAAAGTTTTGATTTCAAGTTCTTCGATCCAGTTGTGTTTTAAAATTCTGATTGTGAACATGGGTAACTTTTAGTTGCAATATATTGAATTGGAGTTGCCAATTAGTTGTATGGGAAGGTTTTATTTTTGTCAAAAAAGAGGGAGAGTTTAATGATGTTTTAAATTGATGGGCATTAAAAGCCCAAAACAACAAAAGGTTCAATGTCAATTTTTTAGTCCCTTAACTTTAATTTTGAATATTTTTAGTTTTAAACTATTTTTTTCATTTTTAAACTATTAATATAATGTTTCAAAAAAACTCTATCTAAATTTGTGTCAAAAAAATTATTATGTTGAGTATTATATTTAAAAATTAATTATTTAAAATAAAAATTTATATAAAATAATATTAATTTAAATAATATTACACAAAAATAAATTTTTAGATTATTTTGCTTTATGGTAAATGCTCGGTTAAATTCGATAAATAATTTATTAATTATGTGATTTATTTTAGTCTAATCTAGAAATATTTTTTTTTCAAAATAATTTATAAACTATCAATTTTATTTTGAAATGATCTAGTTAGCAACATTCTGTTAACTGACTAACGAAATTCTTTTTAATTGTTGACAAGTTGCCCCTTAAACTTTTAAACAATATTAAATATAATACATATATTTTTATTTTTTATAACATTTTGTTTTTGAAATTCAAATTTTTTTGTCAAATATAATAATTAACCAAGATAAAATTTCAA